TCTAATAACACAAACAATGTTCTTGGCACATAAGCCCGATGTGTTAAAACAAGACAGCCCTGGTCAGAAATGTTCAAATGACATGTCGTGTAGACCACAAATGGTTCTTAGAACATTCTCTGATAGGCCTATATCGGCTATACGCAAGAGTGACCCTGGGTAAGAGTGACCTTTGGTGCGCGACTTTTCGGGGCCGCGGGGGGACCAAACCTGGGCGCGCAAGCAGCTGCTACTGCTTCGCTTTCAGCCATCTGGCGACCCATCTGTGCCCGCACCAAGGGTCACTCCGGCGAAAGGTCACTCTTATGTCTAGTCGACTATAGGCACGCCAGGACGCTTCGCCACTGCTCGAAACTGGGGGTCCCCGAGCAGCCTCTTGCTTCCGCCGGCCTCCCCGCCTCCGCGGCTGCCGCCCCTGCCCTGCCCCTCCGCGGGCCGCCGGCGAGAGAGCACGCGGCCAGCCCGTCGATCCCTCGACGGCGGGGCTCTTTCTGTACCGCCCTCCTCCTCCTCCTCCCTCCCTTCTCCCTCCCCTCCCTCCTCCTCCTCCTCCTCCTCCTCCTCCTCCTCCTCCTCCTCCTCCTCCTCCTCCTCCTCCTCCTCCCTCCTCCTCACTCCTCCTCCCTCCTCCTCCTCCTCCTCCACCTCCCTCCCTCCCTCCCTCCCTCCCTCCCTCCCTCCCTCCACCTTTAAACAAGCGCGTTTCACTACTCGCGAAGTAACTACTCGCAAATGGCCTAGATCCGCCGCGCGGGATCCAAGACTGATAGGTTTCTAGTGGTCTCAAAAGACAGCATCATGACTCCCCAGGGGGGTCCGGGCAGGATCCGGGGAGAATCCGCGGATCCGCCAGTGACTTTGGGGAACGCACCACTGAGGCTGAGGCTGAGGCCCCCAGCGCCGCCAGTGACTATGGGGAATGCACCACTGAGGGGCTATGGGCTGTTGCTTTTAGCCAACAGTTACACACTTCGTGGTCTTCGATGTCCCAGAACTCCATTCCCGGGCCACATTTCTGAATGCCCGGAGCCACTGTAGGCCACTTCGTGGTCTTCGCGTTCCCAGAACTCCATTCCTGGGCCACATTTTGAATGCCCGGAGCCAACTGTAGGCCACTTCGTGCTCTTCGAGTTCCCAGAACTCCATTCCCGGGCCACATTTTGAATGTACGGAGCCAACTGTAGGCCACTTTGTGGTCTTCGAGTTCCCAGAAATTCATTCCTGGGTCTGATTTTGAATGCCCAGAGCCAACTGTAGGCCACTTCATGTTCTTCGAGTTCCCAGAGCTCCATTCCCGGGTCACATTTTGAATGCTGAGGCAGGCTGATGCTGAGGCTGAGGCAGGCTGAGGCTGAGGCAGGCTGAGGTTGAGGCCGAGGCTGAAGGCAGACTGACGCTGAGGCTGAAGCAGGCTGAGGCTGAGGCTGAGGCAGGCTGAGGCTACGGCTGAGGCAGGCTTATGCTGAGGCTGAGGCTGAGACTGATGCAGGCTGAGGCTGAGGCACGCTGAGGATGAGGCCGAGGCTGAAGGCAGACTGAGGCTGAGGCTGAAGCAGGCTGAGGCTGAGGCTGAGGCTGAGGCAGGCTGAGGCTGAGGCTGAGGCAGGCTGGTGCTGAGGCAGGCTGAGGCTGAGGCTGAGGCTGATGCAGGCTGAGGCTGAGGCAGGCTGAGGCTGAGGCCGAGGCTGAAGGCAGACTGAGGCTGAGGCTGAAGCAGAGGCTGAGGCTGAGGCTGAGGCAGGCTGAGGCTGAGGCTGAGGCTGAGGCTGAGGCTGAGGCTGAGGCTGAGGCTGAGGCTGAGGCTGAGGCTGCTGAGGCAGGCTGAGGCTGAGGCTGAGGCTGAGGGCTGAGGCTGAGGCAGAGGCTGAGGCGAGGCTGAGCAGACTGAGGCTGAGGCTGAAGCAGGCTGAGGCTGAGGCTGAGGCAGGCTGAGGCTGAGGCTGAGGCAGGCTGATGCTGAGGCAGGCTGAGGCTGAGGCTGAGGCTGATGCAGGCTGAGGCTGAGGCAGGCTGAGGCTGAGGCCGAGGCTGAAGGCAGACTGAGGCTGAGGCTGAAGCAGGCTGAGGCTGAGGCTGAGGCAGGCTGAGGCTGAGGCTGAGGCAGGCTGATGCTGAGGCAGGCTGAGGCTGAGGCTGAGGCTGATGCAGGCTGAGGCTGAGGCAGGCTGAGGCTGAGGCCGAGGCTGAAGGCAGACTGAGGCTGAGGCTGAAGCAGGCTGAGGCTGAGGCTGAGGCAGGCTGAGGCTGAGGCTGAGGCAGGCTGATGCTGAGGCAGGCTGAGGCTGAGGCTGATGAGGCTGAGGCTGAGGCAGGCTGAGGCTGAGGCCGAGGCTGAAGGCAGACTGAGGCTGAGGCTGAAGCAGGCTGAGGCTGAGGCTGAGGCTGAGGCTGAGGCTGAGGCTGAGGCTGAGGCTGAGGCTGAGGCTGAGGCTGAGGCTGAGGCTGAGGCTGAGGCTGAGGCTGAGGCTGAGGCTGAGGCTGAGGCTGAGGCTGAGGCTGAGGCTGAGGCGAGGCTGAGGCTGAGGCGTGCTGAGGCCAGGCTGAGGCTGAGGCTGAGGCCAGGCTGCTGAGGCTGAGGCTGAGGCTGAGGCGAGGCTGAGGCAGGCTGAGGCTGAGAAGAGCAGAATTCTACAACAGGATTCTCATCTGAATCTTAAGGGGAATGCTTCCAGATATGCTCCTACACATCGCTGTTAGGTTGCTTTGCCGGGATAATTTCTGACATTTGCGAGTAGGCACATTGCAAATCGTGGAACGCGCTCGCTGATCCATGCCTCCGGCCCCATCTACTCTGACCCCGTCTAGGAGGCCTAGATCCAGGCCTAGATAAGTCGTCCTTGTCGCGCCACTGGACGTGTTCATAGGCCGGGCTGGGCGCTTCGCATGCGACTTGCTCGCCCATTCTCATCCTGAAACTTGACCTTTGCAACGATTTCAAGATGCAAGCCGTGCCTTTTTCAAAATGTGTCTCTTGCAAGCGCCGCACACACATTGAACACTTACAAAACAGCTTCAAGCATGGATGCCGGTTCGTTTTCAAATTGTGGCTCTCGCCTTAGCGCCGTGCACATCCATACGACGCGATCCTCACCGGGCACATTCCTTAACGATCGCCCCAACCGTGACTGGGGGTCTCCCCTTGGCATTGCGCGCGTTCGAATATAAAACCCTCGACCTGTATGACCTGGCGTTCCATAGTGTACAACAGCTACCACCGATGGAGGGCGGCTCCTCTTTCGAAGCGGGGCTCTCGCGTGAGCGAGCACTTCGTGAAGCACAGGTCCACGACTTTGACATCCTGCGGTGCCTAGACGGATGAAGGCCATGTTCTTTTCAAACTGAGGCTATCTCACAGCCTCCTTGGAGTGCTATCTCGCTTGACGTCCGCGAAACAGACGTCCACGATTGTGATATCCTTCAACGCGTAGACGGGTCGAGTGCATTGTTTTCTCAGAACGAGGCTATCCTTGGGCCTCCATGCAAGCCTCTCGCGTGGGACTTCCGCGGAGGATGCGTCCACGACTTTGACACCTGCAACGCCTAGACGGATGGAGGCCATGTGCTTCTCAACATGGGGCTACCCTGGGCGTCCTTCACGTGGAATGATCCCTTACAACAGGCGCCCTCGTCGAAACAGCAGACCGGCCTGCCGCTCGTCATTCCAGCAGGGGGGGGGCGCCCGCAGTGGAAAGGAAACCTGGTATGGACCTATGAGGAGGGAATTTTGGGACGGGAGGGTGTATGGCAGCATCGGTTGATGCGTCTTAGGTTTCTCCTCCTCTTCCTCCTCCTCCTCCTCCTCCTCCTCCTCCTCCACGCGCAAATGCCCTAGGTAGCGTTCCTGGATGGGCTGGTGGGATACGCGAAGCGTTCGGAATCTCGAACATGGACCAGAGCCACGAGTCATCAAGGCTGGGGTCAGGGGTAGATCCTGATTCGTGCCTCGGGGGCCCACACGGGAGATGCCCCGGACTTGAATTATCCTAGACAAATCGTGCGGCCACCAACCAATCCGCAATCATGGGGGCCGGGGTGGTCAGGGGTGACTCCTGGTTCTTGCGTCAAGGGCCCAGGCCAGAGTTGCCACGTCCAAATGCATGGCCGCAGTGGACGGCCAAGTTGAGTTGTGAAGGCTCACGGCAGCTTCATGACCTTCGTGTGACGCTTGCGGTGGGCCCTAAGATCCGAACGTATCTCTTGCCAGGGTCCGACATCATCGACGGCCATCGTGGGTCGAGCGCTGGGTAGGTGATGACATCTCAGACCATGGCGCTCCTGCGCCTCCAGGAGGCGCGCAGACGCTTCGATT